ACCTCCCAGGTTCAAGTGATTCTCGTGCTTCAGTCTTCCAAATAGCTGAGATCACAGGCATGGGTCACCACACCCAGCTAATTTTTGTATTTTTTTGTAGAGACAAGCTTTCGCCATGTTGGTCAGGCTGGTCTCGAACTCCTGGCCTCAAGCGATCCATCCGCCTTGGCCTCCGAAAGTGCTTACAGGCATGAGCTGCTGCGCCTGGCCTTTCACAATTCTTAAACTGTTGACTTACAGAAACATAGACCTGTATGAACACAGAGATCACCTGAGAAGTCTGTCACAGAACTACCTGCTGTCATGGGTGATGTACAGATAAAAATGTGGAAGATCTAGAAACTAGTCATTTCATTCGTAATCTCTGCCGTAAGTAAACATTTTAGTTTAATGTTAAAAGGTCACTCAGGGTTATTATGAGATTTGATGAACTCATGGCTACAAGGAACCTTTAACTGTATGAATGAAAGATGAAACTGCAAAGGCACTCCTATTCACTACAACCAGTGCAGTGGCTGTTTCTGCCTTTCTTTTCTTTCCCTCCTCCCTTCCTTTTTCTTCTGTTTTTTTTCTGGCACCTTCCTCTCACTTTCCTCTCCCTTCTACCTCATTTTTTTCTTCCTTTCCTTCTCCTACTCCAAGGCCTCTGTCAACACCGGTGCCCTTGTCCTGACATTGTGGGGTTTGTGGCATGATTGGAGAGACCTCGCGCGCTCTCTGGGCAGCCCTTGTTAGTGCCGCCCGACTAGCTGGGAGATCCAGAGTTTCATGAGAACCCTCCCTCAGTGACAAAATCCGCCTTCCTCGCTGTCAGGCTCAGGTTGTCCTGTGCCCCCACTGAGCCTGCTCATTATTGATTAATGAACTTGTAAAATGAGAAGTATTGTTTTACCAGAAGCTACATGTTTATGTGGGTGGTAAAAATGAGAAGAGTTGCTTGAGAACTGGTTCTCCTTTCCATGAGTATATCCAAAGTTCAAATCTGGGCTTTGTGGTTATAAGACATGTTGAGTGAATAAAAATGAAGGAAATGCTGGGCATTTATCACTTTTTTTTTTTTTTTTTGGGACAGTCTTTCTCTGTCGCTCAAGCTGTAGTGCAATGGCGTGATCTTGGCTCGCTGCAACCTCTGACTCCTGAGTTCAAGCGATTCTCCTGCCTCAGCCTCCCGAGTAGCTGGGATTACAGGCACCTGCCACCACACCTGACTAATTTTTGTATTTTTAGTAGAGACCGGGTTTCGCCATGTTGGCCAGGGTGGTCTCGAACTCCTGGCCTCAGGTGATCCGCCCACCTCAGCCTCCCAAAGTGCTGGGATTACAGTCATGAGCCCCCACACCCTGCCCCAGCATTAGCAGTTTTTACACAAGAAGAGCATAGGCATGAATCCTGCCTTCATGTCACTTACACACTAGCAGAGGCATCTGGCAGCAAATAAGCACACAAAGGCAGCTGCAGGGTATGATGTGCCATGACGTAAAGGGACAAACACCATGAGAGTCTGACTAAAGCCTGGCATGTGTTAATCCTGTGTACCTATTCAGAAACTAGGGTTCATGACAGTGCTTCTGTTGTTACCTATTAGAAGTAGCTTTGTAAATATAAAGATTGTAGTTTTGTGAAGCTATCTAGTATAGAGGCACTCTGGGAGCTTAGCATTATGGAGTTTTTTCATAGAAAGGATGGATAGATCCTAACAAGCAAAAGTGGCAGAAACTAGTTTTTCATGTGTACATTGTAGGATTGAAAGATAACTGTGGTTGAGTGTGATAAACTGAAACTTTTTAAAAAAATATATTACTATTTTTTACAAGTTAAGTTAGAGCAAGATATGCTGATTCTCTCCCATTTTCAAAAGAGGAATTGGAAAAGGGAGAGCTCGTTTATGTGGTATTCACAATAGCGTCTGTTCCTGAAGACAATTCTTGGAAAAATCTCATGAGTGTTCTCAGACTGAAAACAGGGCTCCAGTCTGCTGTTCATGCAGGACTCGGGAGGCAAGCGAGCATGTGATACCAGGAAAGGTCCCAACCCTGCCCTGCCTGGGGAGCCCTCGGTGGCGAGGTGGCCAGTTCAGGCTTCACTTCAGAACATGGAGACTGCTGCGTAGGTGCTGGAAGGGTGCTGCATGGGTGCCGGAAGCTGCTTGGCACAATGCATGTCCTGTTTCTTGCCACTTGGAAAGACGACTGTGGAAGTCAGGTCTTCCCAGTCCCCACCAGTAAAGCAAGCAACGAATGCCTTCAGTCCAGGTAATGTGTCCAGGCTTTAAATTCTCCGGATCTGTCTTTGGATACCCTGGGAACAAGTCTTGTCTCTTCTTAGGCCCTTCTGACTAAAAGCAGCCAGGACTTTTAAACTGACTAATTTTTAAAGATTTCCAAATAGAGGAGAAAATTAAAGCAAAACTTTATGAAAGCTGAAAATGATCTTTCCAACTTTTCTCATTCAGAGTAGAACACTGGAGCATTGAAAGCTTGCTCATGTTTGTGATTGATCACATATTTAAAAAATTGTAAAATAAAGACCTCATTTTAATTTAAAAGTTCACTTCATCACCATCATTTCCACGAGGTTCTAGGTCTTTTGTGAACAAATTTAAAACAGTGCTTTCTTTATAACATGAATTAAATCTAGATCCCAATGATATTTGGCACCTTCTAAATACCCAGATGGCCACTGCATTTGCCTTGAAGTGAAGACGTGTGTAGAGTTTTAATCACATGTTTTATTTTTTCTCTTTTAAATATCGCCTTTTCAATAGTTGCTTGTTAATGAATGACTGATTGTTTACTGCAGTTTATAATCAGGAATGTGAACATTAAAAAATTCTAATCAGGATACAGGTTGAAAAACACTTTCCCTCTCATTCTCTTTCCTTATGCTAGAACAATAAAAATAAATTGTCCTTCCTTTGGAAACATAATAGTAAGAAATTTTATCATTCTCTTCTTGAAAACTTAAGTTTAATAAAACAGTTCAGAGGAAACTTAATTATAGTTCTTATACTACAAAAAGCTCTTATAAAAACAGGGGTAGGGCTACAATAAATTTTACCTCTTGAGCATAACCACCGCTTGAAAAAGAAAGATGGAGTTACAAAATGATTGTTGCTTTATCTTCTCCATTGTTTAATGCCTGAACATACTTGGATTTTTTAACAGCAGGAACAAGACACAATTTTGTTAGCTACCCAGGTAAGATCATTTGAGTCCAAAGACCAGATTCCAGAACAGACAGCAGATCCCTGTTGAGGACATGGGTTATCAGGACAGCCTGGAGGCAGAGGGGTGGATTCTGTTGTAGGTGTCATAAGTGACATTTTGGATCAGATTTTTAACCCTCTTTTGTTTTTGAATGTGAGTAAATCTTCATAGCAGATTATTCTCATGAAACAAGACTGACACTATGACCTCAGGGAAAGAGTGCTTTGAGGGGGGAACTGCTTCTTCAATTAAACAAAGAAAGAGCTGATAAAAGGGGCTGTCTCAGAGCTGTTGTTTCTTCTGCTGAACTTTTCCAAATAGGAGCACAGAAGTCCTGAGAACACTGCCTCTCTATATGTTGTGCTCAGTCCACACACTGCCAACACATGTGCATACACACACACACACACACACACACACACACCCCTCAAAGACAACCCCTCCAGCCTATGGTTTTCCAGAATTAGCTTTCCCAAAGTACCTTGAGCACTAGGGGTTCAGACTGGGGTTTGGGTTTGGTGACAGCTGTCAGTGCTCCAAAGGCAGAGAACTGAACTTAGGGCAGATCTGTGGCAACAGAAAGCTCTTTTCTGTTCCATGAAAGTCGTGGATGATGCTTTCAGATCCTGTCTGCAAATTGCCCAACATCACATTGATAATGGAAACAAATGATCTGACACTCACATAGCTAAATATAATTTATAATTTTGATGTGAGGTTGACACATGAAAGATCATGCTTTTCAAACTGCTGTGATGACTTACACAGACAATTCATTTTAGATAATGGTGAGTTAAGCCTGGCAGCCTCTGAGCGTTTCTCACTCATTTGTGCAAACACCTGCAGTTGGGTACTAATGCACATGTTTAATTGCTTAAACTTAAATTATAAAATCCCTAAAAGGATGTTTTTCTCCTAGAAAATAAGTCAGGTCTCTTGCAAAGACTGCCTGCTTTCATGAGCTTCTTGTATTTCCCGGGATGCTTATGCGCCAGCCCCTGTTAGAAAAGGTCTGCTTTTAAACACAGGAAGTTGAGCCCTTCAGGGAAAGTGCCGATGTCTGAACCATCAGCAAAATCACTACACCCGTTCCCTGGGAAGTCTAGTTCGTCAGAAACAAGTTTAATTCGGGAACTATAGTTTATCCAGGTTCCGTGAAGGCAATTAGCACTGGGCAAGGGCTGTTTGATCAGCCTAGAGACACCGCCTTTACGCCTAAAGCTCCAGTCATTTGTCTCTGCTCCCGCCGACTCACAGCGACCACAGAACACATCAGAACTGCATGAAAATGGCCCTGCCCCTGCGACAGAGCAGGGCGCTTCTGGCTTGCGCCTTGTTATTTGTCCCTCCAGTGGTTCCTAGCTGTTGTGACGTCAAGGCTGCCATTCAGAGCAGAGAAAAAGGAAACCGTGGCCTCTCTTCGCATCAGTGGCCCGGACAAGCTGTTGTTTCTCAGGCATCCAAAGCGCTTTCTGTCTGGCAGAGCTGTGCATTCCATGCCTGGGTGACCTGGTTAAATGGAGGAAACCAAATGCTATCTGCTGAATGCTCTCCAAAACAAGCATTCCGCCCTGCGCGTCTCAAGCACAGGCTTCACTGCCTCTGAGGACTGTGAAGGGAACAGCAGCACTGCCTGCATTTGCCGCTGGCATATTCAGCTTCTGGTCAGAGTCTTAAAGGAGAAAATAACATCCTCAATGGCCTCGATTAATACACACTTCACCGACGTCTTTGTGCTGCCTTTGGGGTCAGTGCTACAAAATCCTTTTTTAAAAAAAAGGATTCGGAATCACAGTCAGAAGTTCCCAACTGCTGAACTGCCACCTCTTCCTTCCCGTCTCACTTCGGCTCACGCCATTCCCCAATTTCAGATTTCTGAATTCCAGACAGGCTCTTGTGTATGTGACTATATTAATCTTCCACGGTGCCTCACTGAATGTGTGTATGTTTTGCACACACATGAGAAAGACTCACAGGTGTAATGCGTGGCTCACAACTCTATTATTTTCTTAATGAAGAGTAACACTTTGTGCTTTTCAGAGAAAAGGAGCTATTTCACAGCGTCGCAGAACTCTCTATAGGAGCAAGGCAAGATCTCTGTAGCAAACATCAATCGTGCAAGGCCAAAAGCTCACGAAGAAAGTTGTGATCACTTAGAGTGACTGCCTTAGAATTGACCGACTTCAGACTACATTTTCTGAGGACATACCTTCTTGGGTTTCTTTCTGGCATGAGGGACTATTTTATTAGATTCTTGGATTTGATTATAGTCACCAGAAAAAGCAAGGTATAACAACCACACTTTGTGTTCCAGAGCTGTCTTAGTTAACTCAATATGCATTTGAGGTTTTATGTTACAAATCCCATTAAATCTTTCTCAAAATAGCCCTTCTCTGAACCTTTGATGAAGAATATTTGCAGGAACCAAAACCATTTGATATATACACCGGTGTGTGTCAGGAAGGATCGTGATACAGGGGTGCCTTTGGAAAGCGGGTTATTAGAGGACAGAATTCTTCCAGGTCCCTGACTCTTGTCTTCTGAAAAAAAGGTGGAGCTCTTCAGATGTCTAGATAAAGACAGAATGGATGGAGTGAATTACGTAAAGTTAGGATTTAGACTGAGGGTCTGCAGGGCTGCAGTCTAGTTTTGCCTCGACAGTCAGACATGCCCAGGGTCTGGCCTAATACCATACAAATGCCATATCCACACTGGCATTGACACAGTGGTGGGAATGGGGCATGGGGGTGATGAGCAAGGCTTCTTGCTGGGTGCTTTGGTCTGGGTGAGCCTGAGATCTTGAAATGAGAGAAAAACTAGGACATTACTTTCCATCGTGGGCTGAAGAATTAGTTCTTCTTGTTGCCTACTATTTGCGTATCAGTTAATCATTTTCTTCTTTTTTTTCCTATTACTACCATTTCAAAAGGTACTTGTTATCTGAAGATAACTGATATAGGACCACTACTACTATTTTAAGAGGATTGACTTAAAACTGAATCAAACATTTAAAAACAAACAGTCACTTTTTTTTTTTTTTAAAGATCTTATTGGGACTAAGTCCTGAGAAAACTAAAACAAAAGTTGAAGCTTAGTTAGTTTTATATAATAGAATTTGGGATATGATGCAACAGCATGTTATTTCTTGGAAGAAAAATTGAATGTTGACTTCTAAAGCAGAATCATATAAAAAGGATGATTTTTGTACAAGCATTCGCATTTCCCCGAAGGCCTCTCTTAATCGTTTGCTATACAAACCATTCTCTTGAAGAGTCTACCTCTCCTGTAATCACCTCTGTGGACTTTCTCTTCCTTGGTTGTTAACTGTTGAAACTGTCTTTCATCCTTATTTGTCAGTGATCCTATATGACTCATGCAATTTGCTGGTATCATTTTTATCAACTGTGTGAAAAGCTGCAATTCCACCTTACAAGTGAACTGCATTGGATTTTCATTTTATTCTATGACATTATTCAACCAAGAAAGTGAGCAAGCATAGATGCTGATGTTAATGAGGACTAATAATAAGCGATCACTGTATTTGTCAGTATTTTTATAGGATGATGACCTTTGCTTCCCTTATGCAACTTGGTAACTACAGGGATTCAGATAATGATTACTCAAGTAATGACTCCCCACCCCCTGCCAAATATTATGTTGTATTTAAAGTACTCAGTATGGTTTAGTGGGCTTGATAATCAACCACATGTAGATTTGGAAGCCACCCCTGACACTTCACTGAGTTCTATAACCTTGGGTGTGCTTTCACAGAACCTAAGATTCTTGATCTTTTATATAGAGTAATAAAACCAACCTTGCATCATGGTCATGAGGATTAGAACCCATATGTATAAAACCCCTGAGTAGTACCCTGTGCATGAGCTTAAGAAACAGTCCTGTCCTCACTAGGGCTGTTACTGCTTTTGTGTGGTATCTTACATTTTATATGAGACTTTTACACATATTTTGTTTAATTCTTTATATATAAACCCAGAAGCTAGAGAGCTTAAGTTTTACCCTCTAGACATTGCAAAGTCACAGAAAGATTTTGAGGAATGCAGCGACATGAATTTTACTACATTTTAGAAGAGCAGTTGGTGACTGTATGCTCTACATCAGCTAATAACATTTGATAGGCAGTTTTTTCATGGCATAGGTGAGAACACTAAGGCCCAAGGATATGATGTACTTTCTTGGCAACAGATAGTTTGGTTCTGGCATAGGTAAGCCTAGAACCCAACCTTCCTACTTCCTGCTGTTTCTTCACCACCCAGTTGCTCATTGGCAAGTGAACCAATTACAGAGGCTGTCTTACTTGTCCAAGAATAGAGAGAAAGGTGCACCCTGGGTGACTGGAAACGGGAATGGGAGGGAGAGGATGGAGGCAGCAGACATTGAAAATAAGTATTGACTAGACTTGGTGACAGAATGGCTCAGCTCGGCTCAGTGAAGAAGGGAGTCCAGAGGCCAAACTTTCAACCCTGGTAGATGGCTATACAGTTAAGTAAAGTAAAATCAATAGAAGGGTGTTGGTTTTTTGCTTCACGATGAACTTAAAGGGTCTGCCCTATCCAGATAGAAATATGTTAAAGATATAGGTAGGAGAGGTAGCTACCATTAAAGATACAGATTTGAGATTAATGCCACAGAAGGAGAGCTGAAACCACTATACTACATATAAGTGTGTGTGTGTGTGTGTGTGTGCGCGCGCTGCGCGCACTTGTGTTAAACTGGATTTGTTGGCATATCTCCAATTCAAGCCTGGGTCACGTGATTATGCTGTAACTTATTGCCCAGTTATAATCACAAACTGTTACACCTTCATCAGAAGGAAGAGCGAGTTCCCCAGATCAGTGTGTTTGTGTGTTTGTTTTGTTGGATGGATCCTGCCGAGGCACTGAGAGACAGACTTTGCTGGGCCCTGTTTTGTAAACAAATCTGTTCACGCACGCTTTCTTCTATCATTGGATGTGTACACTGGCTCTGATTTTCCTACCCGACATGCCGAAGCCTAAGCATTTAGAAGCTTGTTTTGTTTTAGAAGTAGGCAAGCATCAAAGAAAAACATGCACATGCATTTAAAGTGTGCACATCTACCCTAAGTAAGTCTTTGGATCTTTACAATTGTAACCCTGGGTCATGTGCAGTATATTTCAGCCCACTACACACAGCAGACCTGCAAGGCGTCCTGACAGCCCCCACAAAACTATGGACTGAGCTTAGTGCAAAAGAGAAAGCCCTTTTTACCGTTAAAGTTCATTGCATGGGCCATTGTGGGATTAGTCACCCCAGATGATAAAACATAATACTGGTTTTCCTAAGTAGGGGTGATTCAGCTCTTAGATTGGAATATGAACTTAATGTATATAATACATACAGTCACTTCCTGAACTTGTAGTTTTTTGCATGTTTTATTTAATATTCTAGCCAGGTTTAAATTTTTATGGCAGGAAGTATGTGAATGGTTATGACAGGAGTAAATAACATTTGATTTTATGATTACAGTACAGGAAGTAACTTTTCACACCAAATAAATCTTTGGGAAAAAAGTGCTGGCTTATAAATTTAACGAACATAAATTTTCCAGAATCTTGCATACAGTCGCCTTTGCTCTCTTAAATGGAACTAAATACCTGGCTGGTCTCCTTTTTTGCTTAACTTTTTTTTTGTCAATGAATGTCTTTGTTTTAGAAAGAGGTATTTTCGAGTGTTTTGATGTGATCCAACACGACGTAAACCCATTAAAAGATTCTGAGCAAACATAATAAGGCCAAACTTTAGTGTAAATAGCATGAAAGGCTGGAACACTAAATAAAACATTATTTTTTTCCTTTAAGAGTAAATAGCTAGGCTAGGCGTGGTAGTTCATACCTATGAACCTGTGAACCAGTGCTTTGGGGGTCTGAGGTGAAAGGATTGCTTAAACCCAGGAGTTCAAGACCAGCCTGGGCAACATAGCAAGACCCCTTCTCTATTTAAAAAAAAAAAGAAATAGCCAGATGTGGTGGCACATGCCTGTGTAGTCCCAGCTACTCAAGAAGCTGGGGCAGGAGGATCACTTGAGCCGAGGAGTTTGAGACTGCAGTGAGCTATGATGGCGCCACTGTACTCCAGCCTGGGCAACAGAGCGGGCCTCTGTCTTAAATGACCAAATTATTTTTCATCATTAAAGCCCGGGAAGACTCCAAACTGCCACCGAGGCAAGTTCCTTCCGGTGACTCCTGTAGCCATGATGTGCAGGCACCTGGGAGGAACAGCCTGTTAACATCAGAGAGGCTGTTGCATGTGAACAAGTTTACAGAGAAGAGGAAAGAATTGGATAGAACTTCAGTTACACTTCATTGTAAGCAGAACTTTAACAGAGCCTCTGTTTTTCCTTGAATAAAAAAGCGAATAGTGGGAATAAAAGGTTTAGAAAAGATTTCTTTCTTCACCCTTTTCATCTTAAAGCCTGAAGATGTTGTAATGAGAAAAATATTGTGACATTCATTTCTGAAGGTTACTATTACACACACGTGAATTATGTGAGCGAATGGATGGATGCCTGGCAGATTAAAATGTAGAGTTCCAGAAGCATTCGTAACCACCATGTGGCTATGACACAGTGGCACATCATTGGGCTGGGAGTGAAAGGATGAAGGTTCAGACTTCAGGTCTGGGTCTGGGAGCCTCACCCAACCACCCTGACGGAAAACAGGATCTCTGAATCCCGTCTACCTCTACAACTCAGTACCACACATTGTGCAGCTAAGTAACTTGCAAGTTATATGAAACTGTTTTCACAGGATCAGCAGAGTTACCACTGCTTAGTTGTCCTGAATCTTCATTACATTTTTACAGAGAATATATTTGCATGTGACATGATTAAAAATCTACCTCATGTTTTTACGGTCTTGGTAGGTTTTAAGGTCGTTTCTTACATGCTGTTTTCCTTGCTGTGCAGCCAACCCGGGTGTGACTGGCAGACATGCTGAGGGCAGGCTCTGGAGTGTGAAGTCAAGGTCAAGCCTCCCTGGCTCTGAATCCTGGCTCCACCACCTACTGATTGTGTAACCCCGGGCGTGTCCTTAAGCTCCCTGGGCCTCAGTTTCCTTATCTGTAGGATGACGATAAAAATAGAACTTACCTCCAGGGCTGCTGTGAAGATTCAACAAATGGACGGATGTGCAGCTTGTGGTAGCTCCTGAGTGGGTCCTGCATGTCAGTGTGCTGTTGTCGCTGACGATGAAACTGGCTTGGAAAGGTTGGGTGATAGGCGCAAGAACAAATTAGCAAAAAAGATGAGCCAGAACTCAAACATAGCCTTAGGACTTCTCAGTGGCTAGTGCCCTTCGGTTGTGAGACCACTCTCTCCCCTGCCTATAAAAGTGCCACGAAAGAGCGCTCTCCATTTGTTTGTTTAAAAGAGAACTGAGTAAATGTTAAACGTGAAGGACATTTGTCATGGGGTTTTACTTTGTTTGGAGAGGGCGGACTCTATAACTCTTGAAGGGTGTCCACAGCATAGCAAGGGCCTGGACAGCCTCCATGGTTTCATCACATTCTCAATATCCAGCCTTAGAAACAGCTCCCTTTAGGTCCCCAAATTAACAGGAGTTTCTAAAGGATAGCAGCTTTTTTTGCAACTGCTGCATCTGTTAGATTCATGTTCTCTTTGCTATCCCCTCCCCAAGCTTCTACTTCATGATCTTTTTGTTTTGCTCGACTTTTCCTCTTTTTAAAACCTCTGCATTGGCCACCCAGGACTTAAGAGGAACTTTCCTGGAAAGCCGTCTGAAACAGGAACAAATTGCACAGAAACACTGAGAGCTGGGAACTTGTGTGTATACCTGACATAGTGGGAGACGGAGGCTTCCTTCTGAGTAAGAGAGAAGAGTGGATATTCTAATCGCTGAGTAGTGGTCAGGCCTCTTTTGCTGAGCTTGGTATCAATGGGATTTTAAAAAATGGTAGCTATTTGAAAGTACTCTCCATGTAAAGGGTTCCTGTTCCTTTGACCCTATCACAGAATATTCCTATTTTTCTGTTGAGGAGGTTCATAAGGTTTCATGGGCAAGGGCTGAGATGACTATTGTGTAGTGTAGTTGTTTTAAATTAAAAACTTACCTCTAGTTATAGGTGCTACCTTTTACTTACCCTCAATTTGGAGATTACATCATGCAGGCTGGGCACAGTGGTTCATGCCTGTAACCCCAGTGCTCTAGGAGGCCAAGGCGGGAGAGTCGCTAAAGGCCAGGAGTTACAGACCACCCTCGGCAACAGAGCAAGGCGTCATCTCTACCAAAAAAAATTAGCTGGGTATGGTGGCACTTACCTGTAGTTTCAGCTACTCCGGAGGCTGAGATGAAATGAAGTCAGACCCTGCCTCTAAAATCCATCAATCAATTATGTGTCTCAGGCAAATGCTTTCCATACTCTTCTTGTTAAAATATCAGTTTGGTAAAGATGATAAAAGCGTATCACATCCCAGGAAGTTGAGGCTTCTGTGAGCCAGGATCGCGCCACTGTACTCCAGCCTGGGGGACAAGAGTGAGACCCCATCTCAAAAAAAATGAAAATTCCCTTCCAGAGTATAAATCACAGATTATGTTTTTATTTTTTTTTTTTTCATATTTATCTTGAGTATCCAAAAATGTGAACTAAAAGAGTTGGGGTCTAAGTGGCAAAGTGCTGCCGTGTTACAGGTTAAGGGCTTCCATGGATTGTGTGATAAATACAGGTGTGAATTTGGGTGATGTGTTTTATTTTTCAGTGCCCATTAAGTAGAAATTTATATTTTCCTCCCTCCTCCTTCAAGAGGCCCCCTCCCCACCGTGTGGCACATGGAGGCCCCAAGTTGGAAGCACATTCACAGCCTGAAGCTGAAGGACAGGCTCTGAAAAATCTATCTTTCAGCAAAACACCTACCAATCTCAGAAAGTGAGCTTTGTCACCACTGATACTCTTGTCAGGTGGGATGAAAGCAATTTTTCTTACTCATTTTGCCCAGTTGTCAAGAAATACTGCTCTTCTCTCTGACATAAATTAACAGGTTTGGCTACAGCCTAGAGAAATACAAAATGTCACATTTGAGCCTTAGTGGCCGGTTTTCAAAGGGGTGCCTGAGTGTGAACACCATGTCGGCTGTTCTGTTAATGTGGCTGGGTCTCATAAATAGGTATTTTTCTGCCCCTGTGATGGACAAATCTGAAACAGTTTTTCCATCTCACAACCCCAGGGGATGGTATTTAGAGGCTGATTTTTGGCATCTCAGTTCCTGGTAAGGAAGATGAATTCCGTATTTGAAATTTGGGGACAAACAAAAATAACTCTTTCTCTTTCCTTGAAGGGTTAATGCTCCAACCAGCCTCAGATTGGTTCGCTTGAATCTTAAAATTACTTTTCTGGTCACGCGCGCCGAAGGTCTAAGCATTTGTGAAATGTCTTTTTTTCCCCCCCACCCCTTGATGCTGTTCTCTTTGGGCTGTCTTAATTACACAGGGGTTGAGAAACCAAATTAAAATTAGGCGTGTCTGGTCAACAGTGATCACGTTGCATGCTTTTAGCTTTGCTTGTTGAAGTTGCTTCTCCTCCCTGAGTGGCTTTCCTCCTATTTTTTTTTTTTTTTAAAAGGAAATATCATAAGCTCTTTCAGAAATACTCACAGGAAGTGAGTGTCCGTATGCTGGTTACTCACCAGCAACTGAGTGTTGGCAGGTGGAGAATGCTACCGCAGCCCGCCCAGACGGATCTGCAGACTGGCCCCATTGCAGAGGATTAGACACAGGGTGCGTGGATCATAGGGTTTTTGTACAGAAGGCAGTTTTAAGAGGAAATTGGTCACTGCATGTCATCTCGAGGGGTGGTGATTCAGGGAGCAGGGCTGGGGGTCAGAAGGCACGTGGCTGCCATCTCGGAGGTTCCTGCTCACTTCTCAGAGGGCAGGCTGGCTTCTAAAAATCAATGCTCCCTCCACCCCCAAACAGCGATTCTTCTGCAGTGAATCACTTCCAGAAATGAATAGCCACAGTTTTTTGGAATGAACGTTGTGAAATCCCTCCTTTATAATGGCAGGTTTTCAGTTGGTGGTTTTATCAGAATTTCTCAAGATCAAAACGAAACCTTCTCTTTAAAAAGGAAAGAAAGTACTATCGATACAGAAAGCAAAAGTATTTCCAGTCTCCTACTGAACTGTCACGGCAGACCTCTCTGTATCTATATTTAGAGATGTATGTCCATATATTTGCCTGAATGTGTGAGTTCTTGGAAGTATGGATTCGTTGCCAGGAGCTGGTGATTTCCTATGCAGAGGTCGCTCACTACAAGAAATGTTACACTCGGTGAGTAGGTGGTAGCTTCTGAAGATTATTGGTAACCCAGTGTTGGTCGTCTTGAGTCATGGATTTAAATGATGGCTAGCAAGCTCTTAAATACCTTCTGCTTTATATGATACAGAGCATGGAACTGTAGGACGCACAGACGGCTGTGAAGGGTTTTTAAGAATATGGATTCATTGAATAATCAGTGAATCTTGTGAATATACTACACCTTTGGAGGAGGAAAGGGTGTTTTACAGGAGGAAGTGGTTTGTAGGGGCTTTTAAAGGTACAGTTATCGCTTTTCTATATTTTCAGCATCGTTCAGTCCTCCTGTATGAAAGAAATAAACAGTCTCAACAGAGAAAAAGTTATGCTGACTCTTTAAATGAAGAAGCTCAATCCTCATGTTACTCTTAACTGGACTTTTTTCTTCCTAAACATTCATAAGGGAAACTATCCCATGAAGGCAGCTAACTTTCTGGCAATCTCTACGATGTGTCTCATTCAGAACCTGGTGGGCTCTCCATGCGTTATTGGCAGCACTTTTATCCAGGGGCACAGAGAAGGAATAGGGTTACTGGAAACAGGGAGTGTAGCTCAAGGAATTGTTCTCTCTCTGGAGTGGATAAGTTGTTTGACCTACTGACTCATTTCACAGGAATTAGGAAAACAACCTAGTGTGGTTTTTATTGTTATTCCTGGAGGATTCCAAAATCTGTGTGCCTACAAATGAGATGAGCTGGGGAAAGGGAGCGCTGGCATTTGGCGTTTCTACTTGCCTCTTTTCCTGGGGGAATCCGATCCTCTGCTTCCAGGACAAGTCCTGCGCTTGGGATCCTTTGTACAACCATTCACAGGTGAGTACATATGACAGCAATTTCTGATTTCACTGGTTCTTGCTTCTAAACGCCTAAATGGTGCTTTGTCTAGGGAAAGGCTTTAAAGGGCATTTTCCCCCGTTACGTTTATAATACATTTCATATTTACCTACAGAAAATACGGTGGATGTGATAATAATTATACAAGACAACCCACAGACAACAATGAAAGTTAAGAATTAAGATACATTCTGATAGATTTTTACGGCATATTGACATAAAGGCAGTTTTGGTTTTGACATACGTACACCAAAATGATATTTGTAATGCTATTTAAACACAAGTATACAAGGCACCAGTGTATTCTGGCAAAAATAATATAATTATCAACAGTTAATGAAAGGCTTGTGCTTTGAGCTACTAACAAAATGTTAATATGTAGAGAAACTTGTGATTCATGATGTTATGGTTTTCAACCAATGTTATCAAATCAGCTAAAAATATCAGAAGAGGACAAAGAAAGTATGTTAAACATGGATAAAAGCAGAAACTGAGAAAAGATAGCTTTGATATTTAAAGTGTTAGATTATGGCCTCTATATAATGTCACATATGCTGGACTGCCCCCCCCCAAAAAAAAATCACACCCTCAAATTATGATCTTAATTATTCAAAGGATGTTTGGCGTGTTGGTGGTATAGTGGTGAGCGTAGTTGCCTTCCAGAAGATGGTTGGTGTATAATTACTAGAGAATTTCTTGCTTTCTTGGGAGGTGGCTTAGTAAAAGGTTGAGTCAGACATACTGAGGCTGTTTATTCAGTGTGCTATGCTGTGCTGTGTCCGAATGCCTGGGAGTTAAGAGTTGTTAACCTTTCCAGGGTGCTAGATCCCTTTGAGATTATGATGGAAGCATGAATCCTTTTCCCACACCTGTATGCAAACATTTGCCTGCCCATTTACAGACCCAAAGAAGCACATCCATGTACCCCACGTGAAGAAGGCTGCCCTGGCCTAAGCCCTCACTGTGACTCTGCTGTTCTTAAGCTTCCCAGGAAACACTGTTATTTAAAAAGACGAGCCATCCAGGTCAAAAAGAAGTCATTGTGGTTGCTAGGTGGGGGTGCAAAGCCAAAGACAAAGGGTGGGGAAAATACATGACTAATAATAAATAAAGAGCATGGTTAATACCAGAGCCTCCAAACTGATAGCCCAGAATCCCTCAACATTTAGCCACGAGTATTTGTAAAGTACGTTGTGAATTCAGATGGAGGGCTGAAGACTCAACATTAAGCAGTTGGGCAGAGTTTTCATATGTATATTTGTCTATGCCTTTTGCACAATATAAAACTAGGAAATCTCTTTTCATTTTTCTATTGTGCACACTGCCACATTAGGTAGGACTCAAAATCATCTCAACTCCAGGAGTATAATTCGTAACAATTATAACAAAGCATAAAAATGATTCTACATTAGCAGAAGAAATGTAGTAGGGATAGATTTAAAATAGCATGGTTGAGTACAAAAGAAACATCATTTTTAAAAAAAAAAATGCAGCCTTTATCACTCATCAGCTAAACTTAGGTCAATGCTGTGAGGCTGTTGTGGGAAAAAAATAGTCATGATTCTTGGGTATATTAAAAGGAGCATGACAGAGAAGGGTAAGAAAACAAGAGTTAGTGTTCGTCAGATTCATCATTGTGTCCTGTTTGAGTCACACTTGAAAAAAGATTTTGGACAATTGTGAAAAGCTGATACACAAGCAACAGAAATTACACGCCCTTCCAGGAAAAGATAAGGCAACTGAGAGTTTTATTCCACACAAGGCTAGAGGATTTCTTGCTAATGGCCTTTAAGTAGTAACAGTCTGGTTTATCCTTATATTCCTGGGGCCTTCCACACTGTCTGGTGCTCAGTACTTGAGATGATTGTTGTGTTTAGTGATATGAGTAACGTTCCTGTGATAGACTTAGCAGGAATAAGTAAGTTCAAATAAAACCAGCGATAGTGTCATGACAGACAACATGTAATACATGAATTTGCTGGGTGATTAATACACAAGGATGACTGTCTCACTTGTGAGGATGATAAAATGCTTCAGCAGCTAACTGGGGGAAGCTACAAAATCTTGGTTTGATACCTCTTTCAGGATGAAAGCAGATTAAGTCTCCTGGGGTGGTGGAAACATGTATTCATTCATTCTGCAAACCCTGAGGGCCTGCTTGGCTAGGTGCTCACGGTCTGGTAGAGGAGACAAAGATACAGAAACAGAGTCACAGTGTGTGATGAGTGCCATGGGAGCATAAAAACAGCATGTGCAGGGCTTGTGACACTCAACCTCCACCCCGCACAGCTTCCAGTGGAGGCAAAGTCACAATTGACTCAATGGACAGGCTTGGCCGAGTTAGCTGGATGGGAGGCAGGTGGGACAGCCTGGCCAGAGGCCCAGACCTGTGTGTGTGGGGAAGGGGTGATGGGAGATGCAGACTCGGCAGTGCTTGGAACAGGTCTGAATGCTGCGCCTTGCTAGCCTGAAGATTTCCACCCAGAAGCCTGACAAAGTCAGATGTGCGCTTCAGAAAGGCCAGGCGGGCTGCAGTGAAGAGAGTGCCTTGAGGGGGTGGGGGACAGGCCATCGAGGCAAGGGGACCAAATGGAAAGCTTTGGTCAGGACACACATGGTGATGGATTTGGGGGAGAAATGGGGGAGGGTGATGCAGGCAGAGTGGCCAGTGTTATCAAGTGGCACCATTCACCACAAAATGCAGTCCAAGAGGAAGCCCAGGTGTGAGGGGGGACAGGTGGCATTCAGACATGTCAGTACACAGAGACAGAGTCAGTGGCAGAGACAGAGCCAATGGGGAGTTGGGCCATGTGGATAAGGACTTGAGTGAAGACCTATCTCCAAAGCAGGGGATCACGCTTCTAATTTTTTATATGGTGTTTTTCATTTTATTCTTACTCATTTGTAATAAAACCTCTTTTTTTATTGTATATATTTAAAGTGTCAACCTGCTGGTTTGATACAACATGTGCATAGCAAAATAATAACTTACACTCAAGCTATGAGTGTACCATCTCACAGTTACCTTTTTGTGCCTGGGTAAGCCCACCTAAAATGTACTTAGAAATATTCAGTATCTTCACTGTCAGGGTCCTCATGCTGTACTGCAGCTGTATTCATCTGACATCATTCCAGCTTTATACCCTTTGACCCACATCTCCCCATCCCCCCCAACCACCACTGTGTTTCTATGGACTGTATTTGACTATTTTAGATTCCACATATTACCTCTAATCCTCAAAGCTCTATTAGGGTTTTGTATGTTTCCTTCCAGCACTTTCCTACAAACACACAATTTGCAGAATCAGCATAATTCTGTATAGGTTCATTCATTCATTCATTCATGTATTTATGAGATGGAGTTTCACTCTTGTTGCCCAAACTGGAGTGCAATGGCACAATCTTGGCTCACTGCAACCTCTGCCTCCCGGGTTCAAGCGATTCTCCTGCCTCAGCCTCCCAATTAGCTGGGATTACAGGCACGCGCCACCACACCAATTAATTTTGATTTTCAGTAGAGATGGTTTCACCCTGTTGGTCAGGCTGGTCTCGAACTCCTGACCTCAGGTGATCCTCCCACTTCAGCCTCCCAAAGTGCTGGGATTACAGGTGTAAGACACCATGCCCAGCCTGTATAGACACTTTCAATCCCACTTTTAAAACAGGCATGTTCTCCCTATGCTTTAAAATGCCTCTAAAATATTTCTAATGGTGCTAATTCTCTAATTTGGGAGTGTCTAATTTGCTTCCAGTTTTTAAAAACTGTTTTTATATTACAGTAATTAACCTTTTAATACATGAATCTTGGGCATATTTTTAATGATTTCCTTAGGAGAGATTCCTTACAGTGAATTTCTTGGGTAAAAGGAGGTTAAGTGTAAGATTCTTGATATACCTTGCTAAGTTGTTTTCTAGAAAGCTTGAACCAAGTTCTACACATTTTAGCAATGTATGAAATGTCCTTCTCTCCATATCTTCATCAGCATTGAGTGTTCTCTCTTTTTTATCTTTAGACAAAAAGGTTACATTCTTTTTGGTTCATCTACTCAGAAGCTATTTAATGAATGTTCACTCCATGTCAGGCATGTGGCATGTTTTCATCTCTACCAATAACATTGAACTTTCTTCATGTGTGTATCAGCCTGCTGTTTTCTTTTGTAAATGTTCTGTTCATGTCCACTATCAACTTTTCTATTAGGGTGTGACTGTTTCTATGATATATTTATAAGGGTGTGTGTGTGTGTGTGTGTGTGTGTGTGTGTGTGTGTGTGTAAGATATTTGAGGCAAATATTTTTCCCAGCTTCTTTGACTTTTAATTTTGCTTATACTTTATTGGAAATACAGAACCTTTATTATTATTATTATTCTTATTATTACAATACTGTAAGTTCTGGGATACATGTGCAGAACGTGCAGGTTTGTTACATAGGTATACACGTGCCATGATGGTTTGCTGCAGCCATCAACCCGTCATCTACATTAGATATTTCTCCTAATACTATCTCTCCCATAGCCCCTCACCCACTGACAGGCCCTGGTGTGTGATGTTCCCCTCCCTGTGTCCATGTGTTCCCATGAGAACCTTTATATTTTATGTAGTGGAGTAAATGATTTTATTTTTTTCCTGTATAACTTCTGTTACCTCAGGCTTAGGAATTCCTTCCTACCCAGAAGTTAGAAAATATTCGTCTAATTAAAAAAATAATAATTTCATTTTTAACATTAAACTCACCAAATTAGACGTAAGATGTGGCCAGGCCCAGTGGCTCACACCTGTAGTCTTAGTGCTTTGCAGGGCTATGGTGGAAAAATCACTTGAGGCTAGGAGTTCAAGACCAGCCTGGGTAACATAGTGAGACCCCACCTCTATCAAAAAATTAAAAAAGTAGCCAGGCATGGTAGCATGTGTCTGTAGTCCTAGCTGCTTGGGAGGCTGAGGTGGTGGGAGGATCGCTTCAGCCTAGAATTTTGAGGCTGT